TTGTTTGAATTAATTTTAATTGAATATTTCAAACAAAAAAATCATGATCGTACTACAACTGTAAAATATATGTTATTATACCTACTTACTTATTAGTAATCATAATACATTATGAATTAACGTTTTAAAGACATTCGAGATTACATTATGTGTATACAAATTTAACTGAATGGTAATAATCATCCATCGTTTATATTTAGAAGATTTTAGTGAAAAATAATTAAACTACATAATTATAATGTTACATTGTACTCGAAAATGCATGACAGTGAAATTAATAAATAATATTACAATATGCCTAAGTGTTTAACTAACGTATCGTGTTTTTAAACCATTATTAACCATTGAAAACCGAATGAATACGCAATGTTTTATAACAGTAATATTAACAAAATATACCTATACCCAATAAAATAATTAAGCTTTGACATGTCTTGTTAAAAGAGCTGTATAATCTATGTTTTAAGATAGTAAAACGTTTGATTTCGATGTTTGGTAAGTAAATAAATATAATATAGTCAATAATATTTATTTACTTTAGAAAAAAAGACAATAGTTTATCATATTGTTTATTTAATTTTCCATAAGGTCGAATCGTCGAAAATATAACTTTATCAGCCCGGTGGCTATTTTAAAATATATTACGACAGTGTTAATGTATTTTATTCATCTTTTATTAAGAAAAAACCCTCGTTATGGCATAAGCCATTGGATATATAAAGATTAATTTTACATAATCAATGAATCACAAAAACAGTTGATTTTTATATTTTATATTATTTTAAATTAATTTCTAGATTTTTAATTGTAGATCGACGGCGTTGATAAATCGATGATCCCAATTGAGGGTGGTTAATAAGTATTTCGACAGTTGTTTCGGAATTTATGGTTTATTCTGGTGATATGATATATTCGATATACTGTTAGTAAATGGTTAAAAGTATTTACTCGGTAAAAACTCGGAATTATAGGTATATAATATAATACATATAAAATATCAATTTTTTTTTAAATTAAATCAAACACTAGGTTTGTTCGAAAATTTTCGAAAATTTTAATTGTTCGAAATGAGCTCGATATACGGTTTAATGGTTAGTATTAAATATTAAGTAATTTATTTTATTTTTAATTACAATTTATTAACTCGTCCAACACGGTTGGATACGATTTACTTGCATTAAAATTGCTGTGATTAGCGGTAAAGAAAAGTATTCGTGTATTGAGATATAGCGTTAGCATTTAATTTGAACTTATTTTCGTGTTTAGATAAATATATTTATAACAGTAACGACCTAAGACTTGAAGGTTATTAATGTAACTATTTATCAATCATTCGCGTTAATTAGTGCATGTTTAGTGACCTATGCGAGTTCGCTAAGTTAATGTATTTCAATAAAAACCTAATGCCGCTGGTGTGTTAGGACTAATTAATTAATTATTAAATAAGACGAAGAAAATCTAAATATTTCGTACACAACTTTATTTTTTATCCACTTTCAGTTTGTTCCATAAAGCAATAAAAAACTATAATGTTACATTTTCAAGTGTTTATACATTCAGGCGTGGGTGTATACTGGAAAAAATGTGACTTTAATTATTCAATTGTCAGTAACGAAATTCATCCATAATGTAAAGAAACTTCACTTAAAAGTCTTTAAAACTTAAAAACTGTAGAAATTAAAGTATAAAAGAAATTATTATTCTGTTTGCTTACGCGCTATTATTATTTTTATTTTAATTTAATTTTTATAATAGTTTATACAATACCAATTGATTAATATGTATTGATTTTATATTATGTATAAAATAGTTAAATTATTTAAGTTTGACCGTAATAAAATGTATTAAATAAATTATTTTACGAAATACTTAAAGATTTTGGCCAGCAAAATTTAAATTGATAAAAAGAAAAAGTAATTCATATGTTGATAAGATTTCACATTATATATTATACAATTTATTTAAATAGTTTAAATTTTGGGTTAGGCCAATCAAGATATAATATTTTATTAGTGATGTATCAGGCATGAAAAAAATATAAATACGTGAAATATGATAAATCGATGACTAAGAATTGACCATTTAACAGTAATTATAGCTTTAATCCAACTTGAAAAGTCTGTCGTTAACATTTTCCAAGAACTATGTAAGTGAATATAAGTTCTTCATTTTTAATAAAGTAATAATTAAATTGTCAAAAAATATCGCAAAAGTATTCAACATAAGAAATATAATATACATACCTACAACTATTTTCCCGAATAATATAATTGGGATTAAAATATAAAAAATATATTCGCTTTACACATGCTATAAAACCAATATTTAATTTAAGACATAAGTAGTTAAGTATTAGAATTGATATAATTTTAATAAGATTTTTGAATAATTTGAGGTAGCATGGAATTAATACTGATTAATTGATAAGAATAAAAATAACACAAAATAAGATTTTTATTTAGCAATAGGCAATAAAATAAAATAATTTATAAAACCTCAAATGACAAAAAAAAAAATGTTTGTTCTTTATTAAATGCTATATGATAACTACTTGAAACAGCTACTGTAACAGCTAGACAGCATAGACCCAGTGAAACACTTCCGGTACCTATATATGCAACTACGATAAATAATTATAATAAGAAACAATAAAATGTATTGTGAATTTTTATATTTTTGTACATCTGTAATAGATTTAATGTGTAAGAAAAATAATTTGTTATTGTAGTATAAATTCAATTAACCTATTTACTATATAGTATATAGCATTGTGTGTTGTACCGGAGCCGCTGTTGGGTGACATATCAAAATATCACATAATTTGCTTACAAATATTTACTTAATAGTTAAGTTAAACGACTTAAATAAACATTTTAAATTGACAAGATATTTTATAACGGAAATGAAAAAATAAAAAAAATACACTATATTACAACTGAGTATAATTGAGTGAAAAAAATGATTCTGAAATCGTCTATCTGAAGTAAATTTTACTTTAAAAGAGCAATATGTGATAAATATATATTAATTATTTAATTTATTTTTAGAACATTTATTTTAAATTATTTTATATGTTTTCGACGACACTATTATGTGTAATTTAATGACATATTGGAATTAAATTTTTTTTAAATTTTAAAGCATTAATAAATTGGAAAATTTCATCTGAAATGACTGCGAATAGATCTTGATGTCTTAAAATTATTCGTTTATAAAGGTAGAACATTATTATACGGGTAATTAATTAATGTATATGAAGTAATATTATGTACGTATTAATGCTATCCAACAAATTGTTATGCATAGAAAAACGACTAAAATATCATTTAAATATGCAGTCTGACGGCATCGCAATATTAATTTCTGTAATCGGAAATATTTACGGTGTACGTCGATACGTAAACTTAATATTATTATGACGTCTGAACAATGGCGTATTAACGTACATGTTTACTTAGATAAAAATATTCAGATATTATATTCTGATTTCTGAGTACATGTCGTCAAACGCTGATTTTCCAGCGATTGCTTACCGGGAAAACGATGAATAACCCTTTGATTATATTTATATTGATTTTAATTTTTTGACATTTTATGTTGTATGATATGTATGCAATCGGAAAGTTAACGTTAAAACTCAAAAATGCATCTTTTACTTTCATCGCTGAGGCTGAAGAGTGAAGTCCGAAGACTTTATAGGTAGGTTCTTTTATTTTTTTACAAACTTGATCGGACAAAATTACGCTGATCGAGTCGCTTATTAATAAAAACATTTTGTTCTCTGTCGTACCATTTGTCTGTATTGTCATTTTTACAGTCTTAAATATAAAAAAAAATTATAATATATATATATATTATATTACATGAAATTGTCCGACTAGAAAATATATTATATCTCGACGTTTTATGTAAACAGTTTTAGTGTAAGAAAAAAACGATGAAATATACCCTTGCAATGACCCGTCAAAAATAAAGATAAGTTGATCGATTTCATTAGTTTCTATCAAAGACCAAAGTATAAAAATGGGTTTACTCATTCAGTTAAACTGCATAAACCAATTTAAGGTATTTTTGTGCAGTCTGTTTATGGAAATAAACTGAGTAAATTATTAAAGTCTAGACATTCAGTTATTAACACAAATTTTTGTCAGTTCTAATTTGATACTGAAGCGAAAATGTTGTCCATTGCAAAACAGGATTGGGAATGCATTTGTAAAGTTTTTGATTTCAAATAAGACTTTTTAGAATATTGATATAGATTAAAAATATAAAATCGGTGTTTAAGATCACGCATGTATTTTAAATGAATACGGTAACTAGTCCTAGAGATGTGCCCATCGCTTAATGTACACTGTGTACATTGCATAGCCCTCCACTGCTTTTAAGTAGTTGGAGTGATCTGGTCCTCCAGGTTGGGTGTTTAGCATAGGACTGATAACACTATTTTAGAAAAAACTTATTGTTATGCTACGATAATAATATAATGGAAACCGGAAGGGAAGAGATCTAGAAATTGTTTTCCAACAAATCACATGTAAAATATTTTTAAGATATTAATAGACTTTAAACACTAATTAAAAAATAAGGAATTCTGTAAAATGTTTATTGGATTTAAGTTTAATGAATTTCTTGCAAATGATTTAGCAGGCTCCATTAATTTATGTAAATATTCTTTAAAAACTTTATGAAAAAACAATTACTTACTTATAATTTAAGTTAAAACTGGTAATGTGGAAGGTGAAGCTTTTGCAATACTGTCCCTAAAGAAACATATCTTACAAATTTATTACATTATAATAAATATTGAGCAGTACATACCATACCAATTACTACTTATTAGTAAAATATATAATGGAGACGTATAGAATAATAAAAAAATGTATTAATAAAACAATAAAACATTATAATTTATTTTGTCATCATCATAATTAATTTTAAATAAATCCTATAGACAATTAAAACTTAAAATATTCATGATGGTCAATATATTTTTTAATTATAAATACACATAAATATTTAACTGACAGGAATGAAAAATATAAATTTCTACTAAAATGTATTCTATAATACAAATCGTTACACATTAACTAACGGTTATTTGAATAAACATTTTTTCGGCAGTATAGATAACTTTTTACACAGTAAAATTAACAATCCCTATACATTAGGTGTATAGGTATATAAATTAAATTTGATCATACGTTACATGTTTGAGCATCAATTATTCTAATTCATATATATATATATATATATATATATTGAACAAAAGTAAAAAAGAATTTTAAAATAATATTAAATAGCAACAGGTCTTGGTTTCAGTTCTAAGAACTGGAATGGCACGTCTAGACTTCGGTTACAGTGTTCAACAACGAGGTGTCCCCTTCTATTTGATGTACCGACAACTATAACTGCATCGCCTTTCATTAGGGTAACATCACAGTTTCCTTCTTCTGAAAATAGAAAATCATATAATTATTCATAAAAAATGTTAATTTTTTAATCAATAGTAAGTACTGGTTATTATAATTATTTTTAGAAACAATACCTGGAAAAGATTTTTTCATGATACGGCTCTGCGGATATCCCATTTTAGTATTACCTGATATTGTATAAGATCGACTAGGTGGCAATGGTGGAGGTCTCTCCTAAAACACAAAAATTATTACAATGTTTACTGTCAACTATATAACTATTGATTTAGTAGTAGTTAATACTACATTTGTTGGTCTTTAATATGATATTTAGTAATTAACATTGTTTTTAATTCTGGGCAAGGTAAAGAATTTATTGCTATTTTTTAATGTTAAAATTAATTTAATTCATTATATGCTGTATTTTACAGAATATTATTATAATATATAATATAACTATCTCAAATTTATATTCTCAAGTATATATGTTTTATAATATAATTATAATTTTGAATTTATTAAATAGGTGTAATATAATACATACATAATTATAAATAACTGTTAAAGGCTAATTTTTGAACATAAAATAAATAGTAAATTATGCTTATTTTAATTATAAATATTATAATTACATTAAAAAAAAATCAATGTTTCAAATTTCAAATGTTTTATTAAATTTGAACTTTTGTTTATTTATTTAATTATTTGAAGTATTTACCAAATTTAATCCAAAAAGATTACAAGTCTGTATTATTTTCTGATCAAATTTTTCAATCTGATCAGGTGGAGGTGTTCCTGTGATAGGTTGTGGCCTAGGTCTTGTCAATGTTGCTGTATTGCTGTTGTTTATTCCAGGATTGGAAATTTTATTTGAGTTAATACTGTTTAGTTTTCTGCCACTCATTCCCATTTTGTTGTTAAGACCTAATAAAAATAAAATTACTAAATCACACCAATATTACATAACATTTAAAAGTTAAAATTTAGTGTCAATGCATTTTTTATGTTTTAGAATTTTTGTAGATTATAAATATTAACTAAATGAGCCATGGTCTCAATATGAAACTAAATTATTGTATTCTTGAAGTTATTAAATACCTACCTAATAGGAGGGTGTGTTTTGTCACAATTGCTATTTAATATTTATTTAGAGATTAGGTATTTTCCATGAAGCACTAGACTCTAGAAGGAGTTGAAGATAGCATTAAGATTAATAGGGAATGTTTAAATAACATTAGATACGCTGATGACCATGATACCCGATTGAGCACGGTCGTTATCGGCCGATCTTTTTGACGACCCGATTGAGCACGGTAAAAAAAAAATATTGTGTACGACGTTGTCAGATTTTTACTAGTATGTATTGTATGTAGATTAATAGAAGGAAACTATTAGTCGAAAAAAATTTCGCTATCGATTGATGGATACCTACCACGGAAGTTTAAAATAACTTTGATAGATAGAAAACCAGAATTTTATCTACAACGATTGAACTGTTATTGTATGTACCTACGCTGTAAATAATAGCCAGTCTGTTCTGTTGTCTCGTGTGCTCGTGTTGTATTCCTAAATAACGTGTATTTTGCAAATTGAAATGGAAAATAATGAAATAAAAATTATTTTATCCGAGAGAGGCAAAGAGTTAGCTAATGTTGGAGCTTTCAAGTATAGGTTTATTGGGATTAGAAAAAATGATGAATTATTGAAATATTCTACAAAACGAACAAAGTGGCAACGTCGCACCCATTTTCGTGCTCAATCGTGTGGTTTTTTGGGTTTTTTTTTGTTCCTATTGTTTGATTGTAACCGTGCTCAATCGGGTTTCAGCCACGGATGATATGGTAATTTTTACAAATAAAATTGTAGGGTTACAATACTGAATGCACAGAGTAGTAGAAGTCAGCGAGATATATGGCTTGATTCCTAATACAAAGAAAACAAAGTTTATGATATCACAGGGGGTCATTAATAATTAAAAATAAACATATATAGCAGGTAAAACGACTTAGGTATCCCGGAACAACAATAAATTAAAATTGGAATCATCAATTAGAAATAAAATGTAGGATTGAACAAGCTAGGGAAGCATTCCCGAAAATGTCGAAAGTATTCAAGTGTCATGATTTGTTTTTTGCTACAAAAATCAGACTATTAAGGTATTATGTGTTCTCTGTATTATTATATCGAGTCTAAACCTAAAAACAAACAGAGTTAACATACAAAAAAATTGAAGCCTTTGAAATGTGGTTAATAGGCGAATACTAAAAATGTCATGGACAGATTGAATTACTAATCAAAAAAACTGGAAAGAATGAATAATCAGAAAGAACTATTAACCACAATAAAAACTCAGAAACTTGAATACATTAAACACATGAGAAATAATGAACAATACAATATTATCCAGCTTATAATACAATGGTAGATAAAAGGAAAAAAAAGTGTAGGAAGAAGGAGGATATCTTGGCTGAAGAATATCCTTGATTGGTATAGTAAAACATCAGTTGGTTTATTTCGGGCATAATTTGACTGGGACAGCATTGCCGATATGATTTCCAGCATCCGAAACGGATAGAAACTCATAGAAGAAGAAGGGGGTGAACCCGTTATTGAACATGGAAGTTATGAAAACTGTATCAAACTTATATATTATCGAATATTTACTAAAACCAAATGGATCAAAGAATAAATACAAGAACTAATCGAAGATAAGATACAATTTTTTTTATACAAATTTAATATTTAAAAGCAAAATAAATGTGCATCGGCTGATGTAAAACTTGACCCATACAACATATTATAGTAAGTAGTAGGTAATGAACAATTATATGGTCGAATGATCAATTACACATACATTGTACAATCGGATTGGACACTTGTTGCATTTGCATCATGACTCTTTTGGTGCCCGGCCATTTTCTTCTACTCCTCCAACTTCTCCACGTGCATTGTATCAGTACAGCGGCATTGTGATGAGTTTGCCATCGAAGCTTTTCCAAATGTTGTCTTACTCCCTCGCTGTAAGATAGTTAACAAATTTATTAATAATCCACTTATCGATGGGAAAATCTGTTATGATTACATGCCCGGGGGGTAGAGGAAGGGACAGAGCTAAATAAATTCCATCAGTTCTAAGTCATATGTAAAGCTACGGCGTTAAGTGACAACAATAATTGCTTACCTCAGGAATACGTGTCGTTTGCCGAAAGCCCAACTCATGCTCACTTCACTCTGTTTTGTGTCTATTTTGTCTTCGATACACTGCAATATCAGATGACAGTCTTCTGTCGCCCGATCGTCGGTCCGCAGAAGCTTGTTGAACGGTGCTAGCATTTTGTACCTCAGATTGAAGGCCTTGTACCGCATTCGATGGGGATAACCTGAAAAAAGAAAAAGCGAACTGTTAATGACAATTTTATTGTCCAGGTCGAGCTTATACGAGTAGCATCATAATGATGTTATGTGTCTAGACGCTCATATATACCTCCTGCCATAAGGTTTACAGTTTCCAGTACTTGAAGCGAGCGTATTTGACGCATTACCACCGCACGGTCGAATTTATCCGGTGTTTCGGTGGAGTTCGCTTTGATGCAACGCACGAAATGAGGTCTGGCGTGCACCAATGATCTTAATAAGTTGTCCAGGCGAGTGTGGAAGTCTTGGGTAAGTGTCGACACAGGCTCGTTGCCATTTAAACTAAAATTGTGAAAGAAAAAAAAAGGTGTCATTAATACCATAAAATAAACCATAGAGATGTGTTACTCGTTGTCCTATTCAAAATGTTTATTAATAATTATTATTCTTCAGATAAATAGGTATTTATCATGGTATTGTTTAACGTCTAAATAATCAAAAATCTTATTCGTGGTTTGAATACATAATTGTATAAAAAAAAAAAAAACGTTACACCGATCGTATTAAATATTTTGTGATTTATACCGTTGATTAAACGTACAACTCGAGATACATATACCTATTTATAAAATTGATAAGAATTATTACACCGGTTCATTAAAGTATTCAATTTCTTTGAAACGATATGGCACTAGACTTCATAATTATATAATTATATCAAATATAATATTCTAAAAATAATCTTAAATAAAACTTGAAACTTTCATGTTGATAACGTATACAAGGAATTAAATATTTAACTGTGAAAAAAAAAGTGTTTTATAAAACAATATTTTCTTAAAAAAAAATAAAAATTAAGCCAATGCCCTATAATTTTAACACCAGAGGTAAATTACATAATACTATCTCCACTAATTTAAATAAATCCACTACTAAATTTTCTTTTCTAGATACTGGTTTAGATATTTATAATAACCTACCATATGAATTACGGATTTTTCAAATTATATTAAAATTAAAATTAACAGAATGGCTACTACAAAAACCTGTTGATCATTCTCCTAAATAATTTAGATGATAATAAAGTATTAATAGTAAGATCTTTATTTAGAAATATAGAATGTTATATGTTTAATTATTTTTAATATAGATTTTAAATAGCTTTGAAATTGAATCAATGAATATTTATTATAATGAAACTTGTAATTTGATATAGTTAAGACTCATGGGCCTCCACACGAGCACGCTTATTATACGCTGTATTATGTTATATTTATTGGTAATATTTTGTGTACAAAATAAATAATTGGGTGTCATAAAATGGACGATATATCTTAATCTAGTCATTGCAAAATTCGAGTTATAACTGATCGGTGATAACAGGGGTATAATAATAAAATCAATGATACCAAGAACATTGTAATCTGAGATTTCACTTACAGATCAGAATGAGACGTCGGAGATATTCTGAATTTAATTCCTCTTGGTACCGTTTCGATGCTGTATAGCGCTTTTAGCTCGCTTCCGAACAAATGTGTGGCGAAACCGAACGAACACGACTGTTTGTGGAACACGGACACCAAATCATCAGGCACTACGTCCTTGTTGGTATCTGAAAACGGAATTGATATAAAAAACTAGTTTTCGATCACACGGTGTGATATCATCTGTATCGAACATCTATTACACATATCCAATACGAACGCGCATTAATGCGAATTGTGGTTAATATCAATTTTTGGAGCGTTATTTTTTTTAATATTATGTAGATAACAATTTACCGAGGAAATCCGAAGCGTCGTACACCACCCGACCGGCAAAATGTTGTATGCCGAAAGACCTTTGATGGTCTACCGACTTAGGTTCGAAGAGCCTAGGATTGTTCCTGTGCTGAGATTTAACTTTTCTCAAATACAGCTCAACGGACCCGTAAACAGAACACTCGACGTCCAACATGCTCAACAGTCCTGTTCTCTGTACAGCAAGAAATACGAATAATAATAATTATTGTGCGACTATTAGAATAACAATAATGTTAATTGATCGCTGTAAATCCGGATAAAAAAAGAGATAACGTTCTTCTTACCAATGATGAGATGAGATCGATGCATGGAACGTTGTCAACGTAATCTACTTCTACGTCGCAGTGTATTCCTTCATCGCGACACGACTCGATGCTCGATTTGAATATGTGCGTGTTGTAAAAATGTTGCATCGTTTCAGCGCACAGGTTAATGCACAAGTGCTCCAGTTGACTGGGCTGTAATAAAACGGGATATTAATTATAAATATTAATTACAATACGTGGCTCTACCGCCAAATCGTTTTTGGTTTCATGACGGTAAAAGCGAATTTTATACGTCAAGGTGTGGTCTAATACTCAAATCCATTGTTATCGCCTATATGTTTTATGTTTTGACGATCGACGTTTACGTTTATTTTTATTTTTTATTATTATCCCAATCGGGTATCCAAACATGAAATCAAATCAAGATTATATAATTGTCATCGAATTCAAGTCTATATTCAATATGTATTGGAAGATTCGAGAAACCACTGAAAAATCGATAAAGTACAAATAAACGTGTTTCTGAAAGAAACATACTTACAAGAATCTTATCCCTAGGCTTTATTGTCACACATCGTAATTGTATAACAGTATAAACTGAAAATCGATTAAAATGTATCTTAATACAAAATGGAAAGGACCTTTTGAGTATAACATTTTAGAACTTCTTGGGTGTCGCTTAAAAAAAACTTTCACTCCCATTGATTATTATACGTGCCCGGAACTTGATGATTTAAAAATCTTTAAAAAATTCATCAGTATTAAAATGATATAATGCCATAAAGATTAACATTTCACTAAACATAAAACATTTCAGAACTTGAATTTAGACATTTATTAAAAAAAAAAAAATTAACTAAAAACGTCGGTATCCATCCGAAAACACACCGCGCAGTCCGACAAAAAATAAAATAATTCCAAATAGAAACCCGAAATAATATCGACACGGGTTATTACGTGCGTTAGGAAAACAAACGGGTATAAATGATAACAGATTGTAATAGTAATAGTACCAGTGCCGAATTTAGACATTTTGCGCTCCAGCGCAAAAAAAAAAAAATTGGCGCTCTTCTTAGGGGCCTATCCACAGAAAATATAGGAAATAGATCCTCATGAACTTTTTAGATATTATAAAATCAATGCTGATTTTCTGTAGTAGACACGTCATCGCACGCCGCACGCGATAACATAATACACCGTATTATTATAAATAACTTATGTTTATTGACATTATTACAACAAATTTAGGAACTAATATTAGATATATTAAAAGAATTCTGGATCATTGATATTTATATAGCTATATTTCTATAAATACATCAATAATATATATTGATAAATTAAATATATTAACATTAATTTATGATACTGTAATTAAAAACAAAACAAATAATGATTTCAAAATAATTTTAGAAGTTCAATAATTCACAAGTGAGTAAATTTCTGGCTAGGTTAGAAAACTGGTGCCCGGGGCACTTGTAGCCAGTGCCCCCCCCCCTTAATATGGCCCTGGATAGTAATAAGATGGAATGACGTATATTAAGGGAGGGGATTGAAAATATACATAAAAATGCATGAAACCCATCAAAAGATTAAAAAATAGCTTTTTGTGTCCAGAAATCACTGGGAAAATGCGAAAAATCCAAAATAAAGTTAGTATAGTATTAAATCATGCGCGTTACAAATCAATTTTTTCGATCTTCGGATTCGATCGTGAACGTCGACCACGCCACTTTGACCGGTAACCTAAACGGACGTGAGTCCGAGAGTCGTAAAAACCAATCGTTAGTCTACTAACGAATCGTACGAGCACGTGTAAAATCAGTGCGCTGACCGCAGTTGACGACGACGATCGCCTTTCAAAACAGACCGTGTTCGGAAAGCAAAAAAAAAAAAAAAAAGAAGCCGGCCCATTACAGGGCGGACGTGTTACGAACATGTGTATGCATGTGAACATGTGGTGTATACCTTTGGCTCTTCGAAACCGAACATGTCCAGGATGCCGATCGACCCGTCCGTGGCATGCCGCGCGATGTTCACCGCGTTGTTCAGCGCGGCCATGGACTTGCTGGACTTGGAGCCGGCCGTGCCGACGGTGGACGCGTGCTGGCTGGCCACTTCGGCTTGGTTGTGCACCGAGTCGTTGGAGTCGCTGCTCAACGTGCCCAACGTCGAGCCCAGTCGTTTCAGACTGTTCGCCCGGCGCACTATGGTGGCCACGGTCCGGCAGTACAGCGCTTTGGCCAGAGAATCCCGAATCGAGTTCGCCTGGAAAAAAAAACACACACACACACACACATAAGACTATCGTCACGCGAACACGTTTTTACACGCGCGCGTTGTCAAACCGAACGACTGCGGGATCTTTCGAGAGGAGCTGCGAAACACTGTCCACGTTCACGTTTCGACGACGGGTTCGTGGCGAGTTTTCGTCGCGCGTATACGCGCGGTGCTTTCAATTCGAATGGATATTATGAACCAGCAAACGGACGTAGTCACGATTTTTACCGACTAGGTCGCGCGACGACGTTCGGAACGCCCCGCAGCGCTGCCGACGTCTGTGACTCACCGTGTTCGCGTCGCAGGTGGTTTTTATCAATTGGGTGTTGCCTCGGGTGGTCTCGGAATGTGTGCGGGTGGTGATGCCGCGGAACAGCGACGGGAGCGTGATGCCGAGCAGCCTGGCCACCGACGCCAACTCGGTCTCGCCCTTGGCCACCACTTCGCCGGATCCGTTGTCCACGAAGTTGACGTTGCCCAACAGCAACACCGCGGCCAGAACCCTCACCACGTCCATGAACGGGATACCCAGAAGACCTGTAACGGAAACCCGACACTAATTATACATCAATGTGCTGCGTGTTTTCAGATGCCAGGTATAAGACATAAATGCATTGGAAAAATCCTAGTAAGGGTATTTCATCGGTGAGGTGATCGAAGAAAAATTTAACAAAGGAAAATACCTTTCAGGAGACTAGGGTTGAGTTAGGAAGATCGTAAAAAGAACTGCTAAATGATAGGAACGGAGAGACAAGGACGAACGGTAAAATTTGTCATTAAATCGGTGTGATCTTTAAGGACGAAACCAATAAAGAAAAGAATCTAGAAGAAGAAGCAGTCCACGGCGGTCGAAAAGGACGAAAAAACCGGATGCAGTTCAGAACTTCTTACCTAAACACGATTTCCACGACTGGAATCTGGCCGCGTCCTCGGCTTCATCTTGCCTGGTGTCCCCCTGCATCAGATACTGGAGGTTTGTCGGCGAATACCCTTCCAGGTTCAGCTTCACTGGAAATCGATAACAACAACAAATTACGGTTTAGCGCGTTAATCTAATCGGAACAGATAACACTATACGTATACAGGCATATACTGGATGCTCACCTCTTTCCTCTTGGCTGAGACCAGCGAGCATCTGGTAAAATATGTGATAGTTCTTCTCGTTGGGCAAAGGGTGCACCACGCGTGTCTGGTCCAAGAAATAACAGTGTATCTTGGTCCTGTACAGGGCGCCGTCGGTCACTTGCACTTCGATGAAATGACCCTAATGCAATACGTGAAACGACGATTAGATTAATATATCCGCGAAACGAATATGCGTGTACGGTAAACTGCGAATTATGAACAGTTAACCATGACGTGTACTCACGATTCGACTAGATTCCGAGTTCGAAGACGTTTTGGCGGATCCCAGAGACCTGAGCACGGTGAACGCGGCGGCCAAATGTTTAAAAGCGTCCGTTTCAGGTCCGCCACCGGCCACGTCGAACAACTGCCTCAATAGTAACATCGAAGCGTACGTTTTCCCGGAGCCGCTAACACCTGTAACGCGCGTGTAAGACATGAGTTAGTTGACGTTTTAATACATGAATTATAAGCTGCATTATTCATTTTCATTGAACCCCGGGAAGGAGATGGGTAGTCGCGATCCCGTATAAAATAATGCGGTCACGTCGATTAGTATTTGTACGCAAAAACAAAAAAACCTTTTCTACTAACGAAAAAATGTGTACATAACTATAAAATATAAAAGTGTTTTCTTTCCGTAACAAACGTATACTATAGTTTTTCGTCTCATAAGTCAATGTTTTCCAAACTTTTTCGACTCACGGCGCCCTTTTTCATTTGAGGTTTTTTTTAGAGCGCTCTTCCCCAAATCATAGCATGACTAATTATAAGGACAATTTTAGACCTGATAGTTATTTCATGACGGCTTGGCGCCCTCGTACTAACATTGCGGCGTACACTTTGGGAACCGCTGCCATAAATTATAAAATATTTTTAACCGGTTAAACCGATGTTTAGGCTCAAATTAGTGTTTCGTTAAATAGGGTTGGTCAAGTAAGCGATTTTATAGTTGACCTATTTAGGGGACCGCGACACTAAAAAGGCAGAGAAACGATGCTGTTAATGGTACATTATACACGTTGTGGTTTATTACAGGTGTTATCACGACACTAACCGGAAAGTATGATAGCTTGCGGGTAACCGGATTCGGTTTGCTGTCTGACCGCGTCCAAGATAACCTTGTGCAACTTGAAATCCAAAGTAGCACCTCTCATGCTGGTAAGCGTCATTGGGTTACCGACGTCTTTATACGAGTTCATACACAACAGGATCGGACCCACGTTGGTCTGGAACAATAAATTATACACATATTAGTTATGCAGTACGTATTTTGTATCGGCAGCTCGCCGACGCAGTATATTTGTATCGTTAAGAATTTAGATTTGGTATTATAATATATTACAATGTTGATGCTGATATTTTTAGCAACCACCCGGATTGAAACTTGCAGTGTTTTAATCAAAGGTCGGTAAATGACGGACTATGGAAGGCATAGTAAAAAAAAAAAATTTTGTTTTTTTTGTTTTGGCCAACTCAGATTATAATAGTCTCGAAATAATGGTTTTTTCACTATACCACATTTATTTATTATTTTAATCACCTGGACTTCAATAAATAGTATTAACTCTAGATATTCGCATCTAGGCGGATACACAGAAAATATTTAAGAGACATTTAGTTCAGAGTTAGTTAGAGACATAGTTCTTAATGACTATAACGACAATAGTTATTAACAGATAACGTTGAAAATTCGGATTTAGTTATTTCTACGTATTCATCTGATTTATTTTACATAGACAAAAATTACTGACTATAAAATTTGTGTATATAAATTATAAGTATACATTTCCTTCAAATTTCGGATAAAAAAACTTCTAAACCCCCTCCCTCTTCTTTATATACCATTCTGTACTATATGTGTTAACGTTTATTTTTACTAACCATACATATAAATAAGTATGTTTATGTAACCCAATTTTTCGAATGACAAAAATTATTAGGAATAGGTACTTGATGTATGCCATTATAATAACAAATTTAAAATTATTGATTTTTTTTTCAATTTACCTATGGTCGTTCTGAAATCTCATTTTACTCGTATTTATCGCTCGGATATAGTAGTACCTGGTATGGACAACCTTAATTTTTGTACAGTGACTGTTAATAATTACTGTTGTTTCTTAATCATCGATTATATTTATTTTAGACTTGTTTAGTACGAAATTAAAGATATACATTCCGATGAATTGTTTAATATACAGATTGGAACTTAACTCGGAGAACCTAACCCGAGGCCAAAGTAGAGACTAGTTATACATATAAAGTTACTCTCCCGTGGATGGAAGGACCATTAAAAATCATTGCAACCGAAACGAGGTATTAGTATTCTATTAAAAAATTTAATTAAATAAATACATTTACAATTAATAACCGGAACATTAATGCTGCTTATAGTTCTAAATAATCAAGTTTTTTCTCAATTTGCCTACTCCTGGAAATGTAGTATATGCATACCTTCGACGTTCATCGGTATCCAATAATTGTGTGGTTAAAAACGTATTATTGGTTCGGAAAATGAACTTTTCATGGATCACTATTATCATCATCTTCACTATCGCTATTATTGTTTTAATGCATAATAGTGGTAGTAGTAATAACATTAGAAACAGTAATAGTACAAGTAGGAATAGTAGTAATGGTAATAGTAGTAATAGTAGTAGTAGTAGTAGTAGTAGTAGTAGTAGTAGTAGTAGTAGTAGTATCCTTTCGGTAATAAAATAAATCTATAATATAATGGATATAATCGTGCGTATACGATAATTCGATTATTTTCGTCTTGGCGAACAAATTAGGGGTTTCTTGTCAATCCGCCGGCATTAAAAATCCGAGAAACATGCCCGTCGCGCGTATACACCTATAACGCCGCTTACGCGCACGGATAAAATAATAGCTCGACAAGCCCCGAGGGCTGGAATATTCGTATTTTATTATATTATATATTTTTGTATACACCCGATTTCGGTTTTAATTTCACGTCCTAGTCGCGTCCCCGGCGAGTCGCAAAACATCCATTGGATATCCGTTCACCTCAGGGCGTATACACAGGTAAATCAATATAAATAATAATAATAATTGACGGTTATAGGTACATTGCAGCGCAGCTGGGTAATCTATCTACACACACACGCTGCGAGTAAATCGACGCCGCAGTTCGGAATTTTTTTTTTTTTTTTTAATCACACGATTTATGTTCGTTTGTGAATTTTAAACACTCCGCCCAGTATCGCATAATAACTTTTTACGTAGTATTACTCACGTATAATACACGCGTGTAAAGAACCGAAAAACTTTTTTATTTTCAATTAATCGACCTAAGGGGAAAAATCATAATAATATTGTACCGTCGATTTGAATCCACGGTATACAAACAACACGAAACGCGTCACGCTCTAACAAATTATTGTTGTGTATACCACACGGGTATCGAGGAATTACAATGGAATTCAAGCATGGCAGGTCAGATACTGTAATATCTTGGGTTCTTAGACCTTTTCTGCGTCTAGAACCCTTTAAGGTATGAACAACCCAGACATAAACTCGAATACTCTCCTCGTGAAAACCATTATTGTTTTAAATGATTGTTTACTCTTATTATTTATAAACAGAACAAAATATCATCATCATTTACATTTTCATAATAGAACAACTAATCGCCGATGTAATTTGATATTATGCGTGGTTCCACTACTTTATTGTCGTAAAAATAATTAAAAAAAAAAACCCTATCAGATCAAAATGTCCGCCATGGATCACAATCATGGTACTAGATCACATAATTATGTATAGGCGTGCGCACGGGTGCAGCAGGGTGTGCTTTCACAGCGCCAAACACTTGTAGCTGACCGAACCGGCATTACTTGTAATTTTTTTTTCCTGGAGGTTTTGAACGGTTAAAGTTGAGACCAGCGCTCGCCTGCAGTAGACTCAGGCAAAAAATATATTGTCGTTGATCAGGTACATAACTGGATTAGAACTACACATCATATCACATTTGTAATTGATGTACAACAATTGCCAAGACGTTTTATGAACCGTAGTCACGGTTTAAGTCAACACAACTGCACAAAGTGAATGTTCGAACATTCAGTACGAGTGTATTATGGTATTACGATCGGTTTATATGTAAACCGTTAAGTTTACAAGGGGTAAAAATTAACTTTTGTGTACACCGAATTTATCGGGTGGGTAGGAGAGTTTCTATGCGATGCGCGAGTACACGACTCGTGACCACCGTGTGTTTTTTACGTCGCATACGTATTGACGCACGTCTTGTACGTTCATACCGGCTGCGGATGGAATACATCAGCTCCGTGAGAGATTCCATTAACTGGTGTACGTAACGAAATGAAATAAAGCGTTTATTTGCCCACGACGTACTGCAGGCAGGCAGGCAGGCAGGCCGGTTGGTAGGCAGGTACAGAACTCGCTGTCCTAATCACCTCGGTGTGCACCGGAAAATGATCTACCGTGTTTGTTTAGTCGCACAGGGTCCGAGGCCACCGGTACAGAAAAATATTTCTCCCATCGTCATTATAATATACGGTTGTAAAAAAAAAAAATATATACCTAACACGTTTATACAACGACGTACACAATGTGTTTTTCTTTCTGACGAATATACAGCCAAACGATAACGTATACATGCCTGTGTAATAATAATAAAGAATACCATCGTCTAGTTTATTATATTGTTTTTTCTGCATCTCCTCTCTCTCTCTCTCTTTCCCTAAAATGTTTATACAATTTACACGCGCGCGCTAGGTTTCATGCTTATTTATGTGTATAATATATTATCATGTATCGAACGAAGTAGGATTAAGGATTTAATGCGCGTCTGTAATGTATATCACCATCGCTTTATGTAAATACCTAATACACCGAAAACCGATCTACGAGATACGTCGTCGACGGCCGAATGTGGAAAAAAAATTTATATTTTCTTCCATAATATTTTCGAAAACACTGTCGTACACCTATATAAGCTCGGAAACGAATAAAAACAACTCTTGGCTTTTACGTCGGGTCGAATAGAACATATCGATAATATCAACTCGTATAACAAGTGTACATATTTATAATATATATATATTATTATATATTTATATATATATATATTATATCGTAGGCGTTATATCAGGAAGTGTACAGAAGATCAAATTTTCTCGATTTTACGGGAGAACCGGAACAAAATTAATCTTTACGTATTCTTAATTTGATCATACATTACGGACGTACCACTCGGGTTTCCGAGTATAACCTTTCTTGATTTTCTAACCTAAGGTCACAGAAAGAACCGTATCTAGATTTGAACACAATGTTTTCGAATTAATGACGTCCGGTGGAGAACTCGACTTCGAAAAAACCAAAATTCTCATTCAGAGCCACTTTCAATTGAACGTGTGTGACATAATGTACCATCTCACAATATTATGATGTACAGTTGCAGTTGGCAAGTGACTGCGTCGTAGGTAGTGCCTCAACTGTAGCACGCAGTCGGTTGGTTTCCACGGCCTACGTCGTTATAACACATCACTATAAAATAATACTTCATACGGTTATAATATCATCAACAGCACGTAATGGAAACGTTGAACATAATATAATAATTATCGCACAACATTATTATTGTTGGATACGCCGATAAAAAAAAAAAAAAAAAATTATAATAATAATAATAAAATAACAGAGGTCAGAACACCATGGTGTGGCACAATCGTCCGTCCATCGTTTGATTACACTATTACACATTAACAGTATTCGCAAATCGACGTGCACGAAACAGTATATATAATTACGGGTCGCCGGAGCTATTTATGCGTACGCACTCTGCTGCGCGTACGCATTATCATTACGTTGTGCTACTCCAATAGGCATATACGATAGCGATGATGATAACAATATATTACATTAGTCTAACGCGCACTTTCCCAGTAGGCTGGAAACGAACACAATACAATAATATGACGTATTATAATTATAATATTACAATGACCCGGGAACAATAATTACGGTCGTTAAAACAATACATTGATTACGTTTCTCGGCCTTTTTCCCGCAAAATCCGGGAGACGTACAATATACGCCCCCTCCCCCCACGTACGTGTCAGATTCATACTGTTTCGACGCGAAACAAGGTTGTAGATGGTTGTCGCGGTTGCTGTTGGCAAACACGTTTAGAGCGGCGGAAAACGAAACCAAAACTACTGTTTACGAACAATTTCTGATTGCGAGTACCGGCATGAATTATAACGTTTGTCCACGACGACACGACGAGCCTCGCTTGTATATTTATTTTTTTTATTTTTTCTTATATCATACCGAAATAGTTTCCCGCGCGCCGTTGTCGAACGCTTCATCAGCTTTTGAAATAATTTCACAAGACCTTGCAACGTGCTTGTGCTCACCTAGTTATCACTAACTAACTAACAAAGCATATCATACGGAAAAGTAAGTGCGGCAAAATAGTACGAACTACGTGTGCCGGGACAAAGGTTTCGACCGACTGCGAGATTCGCGCTTTCGATTGCGCGCGAATTAACTCGTGACAACGTGGTCGACGATCGTGTATTGGGTTGCAAACAGATCCGCAATACGTGCGCCTTTGAAGCGCCGCGGATTTAATGGTGCGTTGTTGGTGTTGGGTTCGACGGATACGATTCCCAGAAGAGCGTAAGAACAATAATCGCTACGTGGTGCACCGACGTTCGACCGGTGTTGTTCATGTGCGATTATACGAGTCCCGGGGAGTCTATACGTTTAAGATCTTTACGTGTGGTCCTCCTTCGCGGGCGCGGTGCGAATCATTATTTTATACGTGTACAGCAGGTGCACAACTGCGCGGCTTCTTCTACCGCGTCGAATCTCCGTTGCTCGACCCACTGACCGTTGATAGTATACCAGTGTTATGGTATACAGGTATACACGGTGAACACAACGACCGCCTCGGTGTCACTGTGGCCGTCGACACGCGGATTTAATAAACGCGAAACGCTTATTGCGTACGGTCTGCTGTCTGTCGAATAAGACGAGGAGGGAAATAAAAGGAAAATTAAAAAATGACAAAAATGCGATGCGTTGCTGGTAATTCATTTTACTGGTTGCCCTTTTTTAGAAGTCCTACACGCCATCGCTGCCCTGAATACTTCTTTCAGCGCACACGCTTAACGACTTCGATATGTCGAATAAAGACGGAGAGTAATATTGTAAAAGAAACATTACGGACGATGATTAATTTTGTTTTATTCTTTTTTTTAATCGACACGGCAAACCGGCCGACGGTTGATGAATGACGACGGTTAGTATTTATCTCACGTGTACACCTTTACGGCGAGCTGACCGTCTGGTGGTTACTGATCATATCACAGTGTAAGTGCTTATAGTTCGAGTACCACGGTTATGTCATGGAGGTACGTAACATATGTAAGTAATATATATGTAGGTAATATAATGAATGTTAACAATTAATTATGTCTATAAAATCCCATTTACTTATTATTTCTTCACACCACCGATAGTCGCGCTTTTATTTAATTTCTTCTTTTTTTCTTAAAAAAAAAAAAAAAAAACGGTTGTTATAAACAAATAAGTCGTATCCACTTTCGGATTCGTACTTGTATTTCCAATGAATTATCAAATAGCTCCTAGAACGTCAACAAACGTATGCCACTAATTAGCTGTACTTATTAGTTAAACGATACAACTTATCAATTGTAATATATTAATTTGTGCGATGGACTTGTAAAAAGAACCTATTCAAATCCCTTCCAGTGTGATCAGTACGATCCGATGACAATGTATTGATTCATAACACAAACACATGCACACACACGTGTACACACATACGTATGTGTATTACATACGCATATCACAATTACGGGTGTATTGTATAAAGATCGACGATTCAAGAAACGTGTATGGGTGCGGTTCGCCCGGTGGGGGATAAGGCGGTAAAAACGAAAATCACGAAATCACCACTGTCGCCGAGATCAGTGCCGGTCGATAAGAAAGATATTAAAGGAAAAGTCTCTCGTGATTCTCCCCCCTCCACCGACACGATCAACCGGATCCAACACCTAATAAAAAAAATAAAAATAAAAAAAACACACTGTACACTACACAGGTTAGTGTGCACGTTATATGGTACCGCTTATGTATGTGCGTTTATGTACATTTGTTGTACGTACATGTCGGAGGCTGTGGTTCTCATGGTCGAAGGGTGGCGGCGATGGTGAGGGGGAAGAGGTCCGAAGGTTCACGGTGCGCACACAATGCAGAGGATGTTCGATGGGTAAGGACTCAAAAGCAATACGTGATATCTTATAAACGAAGAGTCTCCGAGTACTCGTTGAATACGCTGTACACAATATACATACTATATTATCTGTGCGAAGCACTGAAGTGACTATTATTTTGTTGATTACTACGACCCACACTTTTTGCAAAACGAAATCAATAAATGTATAAAAATGTGCTGCGTTTTTATGGGATAGCTCATCCAGGTAAATCTTCTTCGTGAACCTCGTTCTAAGATATTTCTACATACTGTCGTGATAGAAATCAATTCTATATTGCTATTATTTATAATGGTATATCGTCGAGCTGTAATTTTTTGAAGAATATAAATTCCAATTGGCATAAACATTATTGAGCTGGAGGACACTAACTCCATTTATCGATACTACACATAGGATACCATGTAAATATTATAGATCGTTTAAATTTTCAGGAAGTACTTCACTTTTTATTTAATATTAATCACATTAAGGCTGTGTTCTTATCACATCGAAAACACTTTGTCGAACCATACACTTGGAAATAAAAAAGATTTGTCTTGTAGCTACTCAGAGTCTCTCGTATGAAGTATCCACCGATAACTACCGTGTATTGCAATAATTGTTAATTATTAGCTATACGAAAAGATCCTTCGATTATACCGTTAACTGCTCTTTATTGTTTTCTAGCCAAAGATTTTCGACGGCTCTATATTGTGATATTATTAACATCTTCCATAATACCCTCAGATTCGACCCGATAAAAAATAAATTTACCAGTGGCTAGAAGTATACAAACAACAGACGTGTGTAACGTATATAACTTATGTGAAACATGTAGGATTCTGGTTTAACGATTCTACGTTTTCAATTCGTTTTACTCGACGCTTTTCCGCGACACGATTCCGTGCATTACACGCGGAAACACGACTAACAACTAGACTAGAAAATCATGGCTAAGACGGAAATATAATGAATTGCATACAAACGCGCACCTTGTGCAACCATCGAAGGGCTATTCGCAAACAAATATTCTATAAAAAGTCGAACGAGATGTAACCAAACGCACGAGGAGGGGGGCATACGAACGTATAATCGTATACGGGGATATATATTTTATACGGTTAATGCGTTTTTGACCAACCTCCGGACGATGGTGGTAAGGCACCGGTGGAGGAGCTCATAAGGAAGAAGATGGATAAGTCGTCGCAAAGCTACGGGGAGAGCTTGTCTCGTCGGAAATTAGATTTAATGCTGAGAATTGAATGCCCTAAAAAATTCTAAAAATGCTTTAACAATTGTTAAATATTGCACTACCTACATTTTTTTAACAATAATTATTTTGGTATAATTATATACTTGATAAAATCGATTCAAAAGAACTTTGGTAAGGTTATAGGTAACATATACTACTTCGCTACATTGTCAATATATATATATATATATATATATATACAAAACGTGTATATATTTGATAATTAGTAAAATTTACATAAAGTTCACATAATCGTGTTTTAAAATCGAATTTCAAATTAGAATTTAAAAACCGCGACGCTTTAAAAAAATGAAGAGAATTTCGCCAAATTCGAAAACTGTCAAAAACAAACTTTCGTGTTCCACTCTCTCTCTTTCTCGTTCCAAAACGTACGAGACGAGTTCGTGGCAGTGCCGAGGATCGCTCGGAAAGCTTTGCGAAAACAATGCGCAAAGCGCGTTCCCATCACATACTCGATGTGGTACATTTTAATTTTATTTTTCCGTACGATTTACGATGGCCATATAGCAGTGCAGTGTACTTACAAACATTTGCGTCGCACAGAACCGACTGTGCAGCGCCTTGAGCACGGCGTCCTCGGTCAACGGCCCGGGAAGATGGATCAGGTCACCGCCGCCGTCCACCGCAGAGGTCGACCCGCCGCCGCCGGGTACATTGCCAGCGGAGTCGGCGGCGGCGGCGGCGGAGGCTGTCGCGGGTCCATGCGACGATCGACGGTGCGACTGCTGCTGGCTCGTATCAGTCTTTTGCTGCTGCTGCTGCGTGGCCGACGACAACGACGACGACGACGCGGCATTTAAACACTTTGCGGTGGCGGCGCAGTGGCCGCCGTTTTGCGACTCTTCTTTGCCCTTGAACAGTTTATCTGCAACAAGCGACACGGATTGTTATGGCGGTGCGGTTTGCGTGCGAACACAAAAAAAAATAATAATGAATAATACGATGACGCCGTCATCCGAGTTTGTTTCGAACATCGTCGGCCGGAAGGTTTCTGCGGGGGAGGTGGTATATTTATCGCGGGGGCCAAGAATGTTACGCCCCAGTACTCGTAAGACGTACTGATCTATTTTACACGACTTATGCGGAAAACGTTTTTCCTTGGTACGAATAAACCCCGTCCTTTAATAACCACTGGAAGTAAGGTCACAAGTATGAAATTTCTCACATGACATTTGACTTTGAAGTATTTCATTGAGTTTTATCTTTTTTTTTTTTTTCAAAAAATTAAAAATTATTATGTGTAGGCTATTATGTTTTGTTTTGTAAACTTTCATTTCGAAGTGTACTGTTATCTATTTAAGTAAAATAAACATTATCTTGTTTTCTTCGATGATTATAAATTATAATGATAATACTAATAGGTATATTTATAATAATACGTTTATTAATATTATATGTACTATTTATGTTATGGGCTACAATATATTATTTCTTAATTAAAATACAAATTATATTATTTTGTTTCATTTTCTCGTTTTCGATTTAAACATACCCTTCATATTCCTTCAAATTATCTTTCAGTGACTCACCTCTCATCTTTCACTCACGCTTCAGCCATCTGTGATATTAATCATATTATTTATGATTGTTCGGCCTTGTCAGCTGAGAGCTTAAATTTTTTCCCTGCTTCGCACCCTTCACATTCTTCTTAGTTCTTCTTACATACTTTCATCCTAATTACATCTTGCCATCCTTGTGACTATTACTTTTATTTTTAAATCTGGACTGCTTACAAAAAATCACTCTGTAACTAATTATCGAAACTACTTGTACACACAAGGTTTGAATAAAAAAAAATAAAAAAATACTATTTTATAAATTTAAAATTTATATTTTTATTAGAATTTATTAGAATTTAAATAGATAGCATTATTATTTAAAGGTTGTAGATCACTTAATAATGCCTCCGGTTATAAATTCAACAAACGAATAATTATAAAATATTAAATAACCATAAATTCAGAAATGTGTATAATTAATAAGCTCTGAAACTTTTTTTTTAAATATGTTTATACAAATTGTTTAATAATTTGTGTAATGTACTATGGAAAGACTTTGTTAAAGTAATATTTCTATAACATTTTCCACTCAAATAAGTGTTTATTGCAGCGGTTCCGAAACTTTTTTTTCTGCGGTGCCTTTTTTTGGACTCAATTTTAATGATGTGATACAATTTGTAAATATTCTAAGTCTTATATTACTCTATTATTATACCTATTTATAGTATCCTGTAACACTGGCACTTTTTTTTTTATTTCGAATTTTTCAACTTATTTCCTTAAGATATGCTATTTAGTATAATAAGTAATATAAGTATGGGTTTGAAATTTGGTAAGAACTTTACTAAAAATATAAACATTCGGTTGATTTTTATAAAATTAATTTCTTAGATGACCATGAAAGGATTCAAATGCAAAACACAAAAAAACTGGTGGAGTGTACATATACCCATTACAGATAAGAAAAAAAAAACTGGCGGGGTTTACATTAGACCTTTTATTACCTTTTTATCTTAACCGATATTTTGGCGGAGCTTACAATCGCTCATTTTAAATTATTTATTATGAACCGTTGACCACGATGCCCTTAGAAAGTGCCTGTGGTGCCCCTAGGGCACCGTGGTGCACAGTTTGGGAACCACTAGTTTAATGTATTTACTTTTGTAGTATTAATTTAAAATTTTATTTTTTTTTTCGATCATAATGAAATATTTAAAAAACATACATTTTAAGAAATATTATAATCGTTTTCTAATTGCGACGGATTTATGAATATACAATCGAAGGTTTCGCGCCTTTGACGAATATGCGAGAACAGTGACAATCGAAAAACTTCTACGCCATGAATTAAAAAATATTTCTCTTTTATCCTACTCTTCTACTCGATAAATTTAAGTACACGTCCATAGACATAAGAATTGTCTTATCTTCGCCTTCGCTATCGTGTTGTTGACATCGTAATATAATGTATATAGATAACGTTATAAAAATTGAAATCCTCATAAAAAGTTATGCAATTTAAATTACTTGTGATTCTAGTTCTCAAACGTATATAATGGTTACACCACGACAGAAAGAAAAATATTTACCCAAAAGCATGAATAACTGTTTTATATTTTTCTAATACGTGTTTAGTGATTTATTCGTAAGACTTTGAGTTACATTAAACAGTAAAATACCAACTGTACGCTGACCTTCGTCATCCGAAACGCAGTCTTGGGTTCGTCACTAATATACCATAACACAGGGTCACCGGCAGGTGGTATACTAAGGATACTAGTATTTGGCTGCGGCATAATACGGTACGCGTAAACACGTTCGGACAGGTATTTCCCCGGAGACGCGTACTAAGAGTTCAACTCAGTCGAACTCGACGCGATGAATGTCGCACCGCACAAAACACCGTCGTATCGGATAACAATACATTTTGTGTAATCGCACCTCAAGAACAATAACAGTACATACTGCGTCGCGTAATAATATAGTATGGAATTCATTGTTTGCACTTCGGCTAAATAAAGATAAAAGTTGTATTACACTTCCACGGGAAACAATCGTTTTAAAGAAAACACGGTCGATTTCGTGTCGGGGGTAGTTAGTTCTAGACCAGTGTTCGCCAACCTTTAGGACCTCACGGACCACTTAATACATACTCTAAATTCTACGGACTATTTTTAGCTTAAAATAGCTTTTTACATAAATACCGTAAAATAAATCGATGAGGCATTTTTTTCGGTCATATTTAATTTGTTAATTTCATTGTTTGCTGCAATGGATCTATTATTTACATAATACCATGTCTAGGGTCTTTAATTTTGAGAAATAACGACAAAAAGACTCTGTAAGTAACGTTCAAATTTCTCTCCGGACCACCAGTTGTCCACGGACCATCGGTTGGCGACCGCTGTTCTGGACGACTTGCACCGGCGTAACGCACGTATACGAAAACATAATCTTACGAGAAAAATAGAACCGTTCCGTATCGTTGTATAGAAAACGTCATACGAATCAAGGAAATATTTTGGAGGGATAATATTATCTTACGTCCGTATATCGTAACGAAAAGCGATTGTGTTAATAAGATTAATTTTTTTAACACGAGACGGTCGTGCAATAAAGGGAAAAGTTTGTACGAACACGATTTGCTCTTGATTGGTATCTCTAATCGTGACCGTCTCGTGTGAAATAGGGTTCTTCGGTTAGGAGGATATGAACCCGACGACTGCTACGTCCGTATCAAAATTATATGGATTTTTTTTTTCGTTTGCTTTAAAATTATATTGTTATAATTTGGCAGAGGTGATTTTATGGGGAGGGGGAGGCGATAGGTGGACCCCCCCTTGATACGTATAGAAACTAAAAATTTAAATGAGCAAAAAGTTTACTAAAAATCATTTTGGCGACAATTTTATGTCAAAACTGTTTACTGTTTACAAAAATATTTGCTCCTATAGAGAGTGCTCGGTCTTTACTGGTTTACTCGTATTTACCATGGTATTCTGTATCAGGTGGTATTAGATAACTAGTAAACAGTTAGCAAACCGTTTGCTTTCGTTAATTCAGCGAAAACACGGATATGATTTTGTCGTTTACCATTATTTGTTAACGAATAACAGTTTTTGAGTTCACATTTTTATAATATTTATTTTGAAGTTCTAATATTTGTAGCTCGTGCTCTCGTTTTTTTTGTAAAAATGTCAAAAAATAAAATAACGTCTTATTTTGAAACCAGTGCACCAAAAAAATGTAGAACGAGTAACACTGATAATGATGATGCAAAAAACATTATGATTGAAATGCAGACACAAATGTCGGATAGACAAATGCCAACGTCGTCAATCGAATAACATCAAGTATAATATCAAGTAAGTTGACTAGATAGTATGGACATAAGAAATTTTTTTTAATGAAACTATAGACGATTTTACTAAATAATTAATAATTAAAAGAAGCAATATCCCTGCATCACATTTTATTTATCCTTTTTCAACTCGCATAAAAAAAGGGAAAATTGAAAAACGGTACATGTGTGTCAATAATTTCGAGAGATACTCGTGGTTAGAATATTCAAAGATTAAATATGGATTGTTTTGTAAAACATGTGTATTATTTCTGACTTCAAGTCTTGATGGTATGCATAAAACACAACCATTAAAAACATTAGTAACTGAGCCCCTAAAAAAATATACTAAATTGGTAGGTAAAGAAAGAGCTTTAGATGTGCACAATAACTACTTATCATAAGAATACCACACAGCAAGAAATTGAACCCCCTCCTCTTGTGACTCCTCGAAAATCGCCACTACAATTGTCATTACAAATAGCCATGTTGAACGTGACGCGCGACACGTTGAAGAAGCTGCTACGCGGACGGCGGACGATCGAGGAGCACCGGGAGACGACGGAGGAGGAGGAGGGGAGTGGGTCGCGCCGGGCGGCCGAGCGGAACCGACGGTTCATGGCGTTGGA